GATTTATTAACATTTTGGATTATCAGACAAAACTGTGGTTTTTGTAATTTTTTTGCATGTGGAATTAACAAAATAGCATCAGTTCTTAAAGCCTAATGTATCCACTTGGCTTGCTGGAACTCAATTCAGTTTAGCTAACAATTACTGAGAACCCTATAAACTGTAAAGTCACTGGACAATAAGTAACTTAAACGGGTAATGCATACAAAGTAAAAACATTTAAAAAGAAAAAAGTTACGGTGTGGCTTAGCACATCTTTACTCATTCACAGTAATGAGACAATTATTAACACTCTATAATCTGTTTACCTTGCTGATCTTTCTTACTTCTCAACCAGGATGTTTATTGAATTAAAAAAATTTTAAGAATTTTTTTTTCTTTTTTGGTTTTTCTCCGGTACCGGGAACCGAACTCACGACCTTGCACTTGCCAGGCAGGCGCTTTTGCCACTGAGCTAAATCCCCAGCCAAATTTTAAGAATTTAAACCAAATGTCATATCCTGTTCATGTTGTAGGCCAAATACTAGTGTGTAATTTCCACCCACTGTGACTGTTAAATAGGGGTCAGTCCGTGCTACGGGAAGAGTGAAGGAAATACAGTATACTAGAAGGCAGAACAGGTAACTTTAACAGAAAGAAATGGAAGTTTATAGAGGTAAATTTGACATTAGCGTATTAAACAAAATGTGACGGCAATAATGATATCATTCATATTGTTCCAACAAGTATTTCTTTGGGGCCTACCCTGGGCCGGGCTCCTCTGGGCACTGAGAGCCGGCACGGGTGAGACCCCTTTGCTCGTGCGGGACTTTCACCCGCACGGAGCGGGAGCGGGAGATGTTGAGCAATGAACATAATTCTCCATACGTAACTTACGTGGAGTGTAGAAGGAAACAGCAGGACAGAAGAGAGCAGAGCTGGGGAGGCCCCCGTTTTAGATGGGAGGCCCAGAGCGGGCTTTACGGATGAGGAGATGAGGGCAGGATCCTGGGGCAGCCTGTAGTAGGAGCGCTGCTGACAGCTGGTGCAGAGTGGTCTGGGAGATGCAGGAAACGCAGGCCGGGGTGTTGCAGGGATGAGCGCGTGGGAAAGCGCGAGGGCCCGGATGGTGGTGGGCGGGAAAGCGGGGAGCCCCTGCAGGCTGGAGCGGAGGACTTTTCCTGATCCGCACTAACGTTTTAGCAGTGTCCTTCTGCCTGCCGTGGAGAGAATGGGTTTTGGGGTAAGGCTGGGGGGAGGATCTTTTTGGAATGGATCGCAATCACCCGGTGGAGGTGGTGGTGATTGGGTCAGCGATGGTAAAGAGAGAAGTGGCTACATCTTGAGTATATTTTGAAGGAGGACCTGCAAGGATTTGTCAAGGCATTAGCTATAAGTGAGGGAAGGGAGGAGCCCCCTGGTGACGCAGGAGGAAAGCTTCGAGCTGAGTCCTGGAAGCAGGAGGAGAGAGGGACTCGCCATCTTGGCTGCTGCTGCCTGGTCCAGGAAGTGGAAGAGGAAGCATCAGCCACTGGTCTTAGTGAGAGGGGCCCCATGGCCTTGATTCACGGTGACCTGCAGAACAGGGCAGCAGCAGCGAGTGGCCAGAACCCAGCTGATGTAGGATCAGTTGACAGTGAACAAGGAAAGGCCTGGATGGTCAACCTAAATAGAAGCATTTTGCCACGCAGGGGAGCAGACAGATGAAGCACTGGCCGGTGGGGAGCTGGGGACAAGAGAGGTTTCTTTTTGTTTGTATTTATTTATTGAGTTTCGGTGCTGAGGATCAAACCCAGGGCCTCACATTTGCCAGGTAACTGTTATACCATTGAGCTAAATCCCCAGCCCTGGTTTTATTTTGGGATGGGAGAACTGATGGTGTGGATCTGACCTGATGGGAAGGGTCCAAGAGAGGAGGAAAAAGGGGATGGTGGGGGAGGGGAAGGATCAAAACGTCCTAGAGTAGAAGCAGTGGGATTGGATGTAGTGCGTGTGTAGGGGACTGGCTTAGGTCAAGGCTAGTTTATCGGTGCCAGTGGTGGCGAACCTGTGGCATGTGTGCCACAGCGGGCTGTTTGTATCATGGAGAGCTCTAGAGGGTCGCTGTCACTGGTCTGTGCTCTCAGGTTGGAGGCAGAGCACTTTGGTAGGTTGTTGCTGATTGGGCGGGACAAGGGAGTGTACCCCAGGAAACAAGGTCTCAGTTGACAGTAGCGATGGGGAAAGAGGTACTGAGTGAGGAAGGAGGAGAAGCTGTGAAATTGCCATCGGGGGTGGGCGAGTGTGATAGTGTGACTCTCAGTGGCACGGAGGGGGCACTGGGGTTCAGCTGAGACAGGTCACACTTCTGGGCCTTCTGCAGCCTCCTTAGTAGCATGCCTGACGTGCCAAGCAAATACAACAAGGTAACTATGGCCCAGGGGAGTGCGAGTAGTACAGTGATTGATCATGGAATCCAAAGTGGATAAGGATGAAAGGAAGGATGTTGTTGTGGTCAGGGTTTGCAAGGGAAACAATTTAATGCAGGACACATAATTTACAGGGTTATTTTATAGTAGTCACCCAGAGTCAAGTACAAAGGAGTGCAGGAAATCTGTCCACACACTAGACACACAAAGATAAGGGCCTGGATCGCACGACAGTATCGTACACGAGTCCAGCTGAAGACTTGGAGCTCATGACAATGCCCCCCGCGAGTCCAACTGGAGGCCCAGAGCCATGGCAATGTCTCATGCAGGCCTGTTTCATGGATCTGTGCTGGGAAGGCCCAAAGGTCAGTGGTGGAAGCTAGAAAGTCTGTGCCAGCAGGCTGAAGGATCTGTGCCAGCAGGCTGAGGGATCTGGAACCAGGGAGCAACACTCAAAGTAAGGACCAGAGCTCCCCTGAAAGGTACCACAGCCATCCTCAGCAACAACGAAGTCCTCCGATGATGGAAACAGCAGAGTTCATATCAGGAAAGCCAGCATGACAAGCTCTTCCAGGAGACTGAGCAGAGTGCACCTTCTTCCCCTCCAGCGCCAGGAAGTGATGCTCAGAGTGAGGGCCAGAGCTCCCCCAAAGTGAACTGTAGCCATTTTCAGTGACAGGGTCCCAAGCTCCTCCTACGATGAGAACAGCTGCGTTTGTCTCAGGAAAGCCAGTGTGACAAGCTCCTCCAGGAAAACCAACAGCCCCAGGAGGACCAACAGTGCCCGCTTTGTCCTCTCCAGTTCTTTTTACGCAGCTGGCAGCAATCCTCGGGTGGGCCCTCCACATCCAGCAGCGCGATGCTCCAGTTCGGCTGGGTGTTAGCAGTTGACCGCCAGTTGCCGTTCTACCGCAGAGATCAACCTGGCAGAGCCAGCGGCTTGGAATTGGCTGTGGGCTCAAAGGGGTGTTGGGGTTGGGGTGCCAGATGGCGTGAACTGAGAGACGGTGATGTTCCCAGAGGGATGCGTCAGGTCGAGACTGCAGGGGGATTGTGATCGCTGCTGTGTGTCTGTGACAGTCAGTGAGGGCGAGGAAGGAATTCACGAAGCCAAGAGGCCGGGAAGTTGGAACATGTATTGGTATCGGCACCAGAATTAAGAATTGGACAGGAGCTGGATGTGAGAGTGCGAGGCTGGAAGAGCTAAAAGAGAAGGGAGAAGGGAAGGGAGGTGGCGGGAGAGGACAGGACTGTGACGGTGGGGGTGGTCTGCGGGCAGGGGATTCAAAGCTGGGATTCCAGGAACAGGAGCGTGGCGGAGTAGGAAGGTGGTGGCCAGGTGTGAGGGACCTGGGGGGGGGGCAGGGCTGTCGTCAGTGACAGTAAGGCGCTGCGGGAGTTCAGTGATGACAGCCAGATCTATGGGGCGCCCTGAGGAGCCGGGGCCCCAGGCAGGGTGTTGGCCTGAAGGGCATGGCTGGTGACACACCACCGACTGCGTCATCAGAGGAAGACTTCAGGCGTGCAGGAGCGCAGGCGGGGGGAAAATGTGGGGAAGTGCAGACTGCTGGGGACCAGGAAGGAGGGTGCAGGAGGGGCCTGAGGGTGTGGGTGTGTGTGTTTGCACTTGCACGCTGATGCGTGTGTCTGCGTGTGTGACTGACCTCAGCAGGGTGAGAGAGCAGCGTCAGTGACGCATGGTGAGCTCGCAGCCCATGGTGTGCGACGAGGCCGTGAGCCATGGGCCGGGGGGAGCATGTGTCCGGCCTCACACTCACCTGGTCCGTCAGGGTGGGGAGCTCGCTGCTGTGTCTGGGCTCGGCCTTGTCCTCAGAGTTGAGGGTGTCTGCCGAGCTGGGGGCACAGGAAGTCAGCCCAGGCCTGGCGGGAGGGGAGGGGAAGGGTAGATGTGAGTGTCTTGTGCCCGAGTCCTGCCTGGTTAATAGCGCGCCTACACGCTCACCAGGTGCCAGCCTGCAGGCCGCGCCCTCGAGTGAGACAGTCTCTGCTTCCCTCTGCCGTATTAGCCGAAGATGCTGCTCGCAGTCACACAGCGGCTCAGGCACACACACAGAACTTGAACCCGGGTCTCTGACTCATTGCAGCTTGCACAGTTGACCCAGTGGCAGTGCATTTTGAACGGTAAATGTGAGGGCTGGGCTGCGGTAACTCAGTGAGCCTCGTAACATCTTGAGATGTTCGGGGCTATCTTTATTACGCAGCTTGGCCGGGACTGCAGGTCCTTTTGGGTTAGGGCTCTCCTGCCTCGGCACAGTACCTCAAGGCCGTGTGTGACTTAATCCCTTTGTTAGTGAAATGTATTTAAGACCATTGTCTCTTAGTAGCTAACTTGAGGCCTTAAAAAAAGACGCCTCATGTCATCACATTATTTCCAGAACACTGTGACTGACTCTTCACATGATGGCTCACCCTGCTCCCTTTCTGCTCACCCCAAACCCATGTGTGAATTTCTAACAGGCACAAACACCTGGAATTTAGTCTGAGACCTAGAAACTCTGTGAGTTTGTGATAGGTACCCAGGACCACAGCCTTTCGAAGTTGTGATATCCTCAAAAGTTTTCTCATTGTCAACTGTTGTGTTTTCTTTGGTAGCTGAGCAGGAAGACACGCAGAAGAAAACCTTCACATGCTGGATAAATTCACAGTTGGCCAAGGTGAGGAAAAAAAGGAGCAAATTATGCCATTAGGAGGGTATTCGTTATTCTCCCTGCGCCTGGGTTTGGGCCCCAAGCAAGCCACTCTGAAATGGAATTGACGGGCTGTGGAAGGCTGCGGGACGTCTTTCCCTACGAGCCTGCGGAAAGCCACTTTGATCTTAGTGTTTCTGCTCTTTCCTAACACACAGAGGGTACTGTTTGTATCGAAAGATACGGGACAGCACGGTAAAGATATTTGAAGCTGTAATAGTCTTGCATCAAATGAAAGAATAATTGAGCTGTCTGTAGTGGTGGTTAAGGTTAGACACTACGCTGAGCCTGATGATTCTGAGTACTTCAGCGCTTACGAGGGGCTTCAGTGTCTTTACAACATCCCTGTGAGGGAGGAGGTGATATTCCTGCCTCAAGGTCACGGAAGTGAAGGCACGGAGAAGTTGTGTGACTGGCCTGTGGTCACACCGCTTCTAAGTGCTGATGTTGGGGTGCAGACCCAGGCACTGGGGACCAGCAGCCTTGATGGTCATCACCGCGCTATCCTGGCCCTGTGTGTGGGCCCTCAGGTAGCCTAGGTGCGCGGCGACTGGCTCTTCACATGACGGCTCACCCTGCTCCCTTTCTGCTCACCCCAACCCCGTGCGTGAGTTTCTGATGGGCAAATACAAGGCAGGTTACTCCAGACATGTACCCTACTTTCCAAGTGGTCACTGTTGGGTAATTCTGAACGTCTAATGTCTCTTTACAGAGGGAGGGTTTAAGCTCTCAGTGAACGCTCTATGCAGGGTGTTATGGTCCTGGGAATTTCCCATGAGGTGAACTAAGTTCACTACTGTTCTTCTAATGGTTTGATATGGAGCTTTGCATGCTCTGTAGCGTTCTATTAATTAAAAAAAATTCACTGCTGACTCTTAGATTTTTAAAAAACACCATGCACGCTTATGAAATTCTTAAAGGTACTGCATTTTGGGGCCCAACTTTGATTATTTTTCTTGTGACTTTTTGCAGCACACCCCTCCCTCAGTCATATCAGACTTATTCACAGACATTAGAAAGGGCCACGTCCTCCTCGACCTGTTAGAAGTACTCTCAGGACAGCAGTTGGTAAGATTTGAAAATGACAGCAAGAAACTCTGTTGATTTAAAAAAAATTCTTTCATATTTCTGAGTAATATATTTGCTTGAATTTCGTAGCCTCGAGATAAAGGATCTAATACATTCCAGTGTAGAATCAATATAGAACATGCCCTGACATTCCTCAAAAATCGATCGGTGAGTATAAATTTCACCCAGAAATTTGTAGGCATGATGAATGCTATGGAATGTTTTCTCTTTTTGACCTGCATTTCTTCATTTCCAGATCAAGCTAATAAATATTCATGTTACTGATATTGTAGAAGGAAACCGATCCATTATTCTTGGCCTGATTTGGACCATTATACTGCACTTTCATGTAAGTCATCTGATGATATGAAAAGTACTTCTATTCCAGTTCTCACAGAATGGAATAAGTGTAGTGCAAAAAATGTGACTTGAAGCTAGATTCATTCAGGAGCATCTCCAATAATAAGAGCATGCTACAAATGTTGACCAGGTAGAAAATACATAGCAGACCTTGTCCATTTTTCTTGTTGTTTTTCAATTAGAAATTGAATGCCCAGTTATCACAGTGTCCTGAAGGATCCCTGTCAGCGTCAGTCTGAACAAACCTGGCCTGGAATGTTTGCTTTTTATTGTTGTTTGCTGTGGCAGAGGAAAAAGAAGGAAGCCGCTGGGGTAGAAGCTTGAGCTCTAACACTCTAAGCTTTGTAAAATCCCCCTGCTTTTGAAGGCCTCCATCCAATGGGACTCTGAGTAATCTTTCAACATCAAGTTTTGTCTCAAGACTGACTCATAGATTTATTTCATCCCAGAGATTTCTGAGCCCTTAGCACATTCTTCGTATTGTGCCAGGGCACATAAGATACAGTGACAGTGTGGCCCTGGCTTTATGAAATTGGGACTGATAAAAATACTTGCTTTGAGGCCTAGGATTCTGACTTAGGGCAGATTTTTCTATACTACCTAAAAAATGGCATTTTCTGTATATCCATTAATTACTTTTAAAATAACTTTTAAAGTTACATAGGGAAACAAATGCTTATTTTAGAAAAACTAGAATATAGCATAACTAATTGATACAAAATTCTTTTTTTTTTTTTTCCTGTATTGGGAATCGAACTCATGACCTTGCGCTTGCCAGGCAGGCGCTGTGCCGCTGAGCTAAATCCCCAGCCCCAGTTTATACAAAATTTAAAACATGTAAATCTAGACTATGTATTATTTCTACATACATGCGTTTGTAGTTACAGCACACTAATATGCATAAGGGGAATGAAACTAAATTTGGACTTGTGGGTTTTCCTCTGGGAAAGGAGGGAAGTGGAATTAGAGAAATGACCAAATACGGTAAAATATTAAAATTTGATAATTCATGGGCATCTATTATTTTTTCCCCATACGTTTCTGGGTCTCTTGAATACAATTAAATATTTCAATACAGATAATAAAAGATAAAAATCATTCACAGCCCACCACTCACAGATAACTACTGCAAACTTCATGATATGTACAGCAGGAATTAATACACATAGTCTCATATGTACCTTGGTCATCTATGTCCATGGGTCCCACATCAGTGTATTCAACTGAGGATTGAAAATATTTGGAAGAGGTTAATGTTTGTACCCGTTGTGTACAGGTGGATTCAATCTAGAGTTTTACTACAGCATGACGCCCCCACCCGTCTCCCTCTCTTCATTTTGGCCGCCAAGGATTGAACCCAGGGCTTTGTCCATGCCACGCAAGTGCTCTACCACTGAGCTACACCCCTGGGGCATTCTGCACTGATGGGAATTTTCTAAAACAGCACTGTGCAAAATCATAGGCACTATTCACTGTGACTTTTGAACACTTGAAATGTGGCTAGTATTGATAGAGAAACTGAATATTTAATTCAATTTAATTTAAATCCCACTTTTGACTAATGGCTATCATATTGTACATCATAGTTCTTTTTTGTGTGTGTGTTTTTGAGATAGGGTCTCACTATGCAGTTCAGGCTGGCCTTGAGCTCACTTTGTAGCCCAGGTGGCCTCACATTCACAATGATCCTCCTGCCTCATCCTCCTGAGTGCTGGGATTACAGGTGTGTACCACCATGCCCAGTGCTTATACATCATAGTTCTCAAGCTTAATTGTTTCACAGTTTACATTTAGACATATAGTATTTCAAGAATATATTGATTTTTTTAATTACAGTATCTTGAGGCATTCAAACATTTATTTTTTTTCCATATGGCTATCCAGTTGATTAAACACTGTTTATTGAAAAAATCATTTTCCTACTGTACTGTAGTAGCTTCATAAATCAAGTAGCCGTGTGTGTGGCTCCATTTTCAGATTGCCCTTTCTGTTCCATTGTTTATCTTTATGCCTACACTGTACATATTAACCTCTATCACTGTGTAGGAAGTTTTGATAGCTAATAATACAGTTTATCTAATTTATTCTTCAGGATTATCTTGGCTGTTCTTTGCTCTTGGAATTTCTATCCAAATTTGGTAAATAGTTCATCAGTTTCCACATGCATCTCTCTCTTTCTCTCTCTCACACACACACATTTTGCTGGAATTTTGATTAGGATTGCATTGAATGTGTGGGATATTTTGGGAAAAAATTGCCATCTTTACCATGTTGCATCTTCTAATTTACCAACATAATATTTCAGTTGTTTATCTGTCAAAATATTTTCTAATTTTCATTATGAGTTCTCATTTGATCTAGAAGTGATATAAAAATCTATTGCTTCGTTTCCAAATATTTGGAGATTGTGTATTTTATGTCTTTATCATAACTAGAACTTCAGTATGGTCAGAGAACATCACCTGTATGGTTTCAGTTCTTCAAGATTGCCAAGGCTTGCTTTGTGGCTCAGCTTGGTCAATTTCAGTATTTTTTTGATGGGGAGTTGAGGATTGATCTTAGGGAAGCTGTACAGCTGAGCTGCATACCTGCTCATTAATCACTTAATTTGTGGTCCTGAGGATTGAACCCAGGGCTTTCACACTGGCTTTTATCTGTAGCCCTTTTCTCATTTTTAAATTGGAAACAGGGTCTTGCTAAGTTGGCCAGACTGTGCTCAAACTTGCAATCATCCTGCCTCAGTCTCCTGAGCAGCTGGGATTATAGAAATGTGCCGCTCAGTAGATATTTTGAATGAACTTGAAAAGAATGTTGGTTGTGCTGATTGAAGGACCAGTGCCTATTAGATCAATGCCAGTCAGATCAAGTTTGTTTAATAATTTTGGTCACGTCTGTTATAATTATTATTATTATTATCATCTTGTCAAGGCTGGTCTCAAAGTCCTAGACTGAAGTGATCCTCCCACCCCAGCCTCCTGAGTAGCTGGGACTACAGGTGCACGCCACCCCACACAACCATTATTATTGATTATCTGATTATTCTGTCAACTGTTGAGTGAAACATACTAAGTAGTTCTATGTTGGTGGATTTATCTTTTTAAGCTATGGATTGATATTATCATATTGCCTTCAACATTTGACCCAGTTTGTATGTGTACCAGCAATATAAAGACGCCTAGTTTCTCCTACTTTGGCCGTCACTGGATGTATAGACAAAGCTCTCTCTTTGCAGTATACATTTAGATTTCTTGAATTATGTGTAGGATTGTTTTTGATGCACTTGATGGCCATTTGATTTTCTTTCTTGGGACGTGGCTCTTGATGTGTTTACTATTTTTTTCTTTATGTACTTTTGTTCCTAATAGTGTGCAGCCAGGAATGCGTTTCTGTTGATGTCAGCACAGCCCGTGGGTTTGGGTGGGTTCAGTTGGCAAGTGTGGGGCTCCAGAGCAGTGCTGTCGCAGGACCTTGGTGACCAGGGACGCCATCCCTGGGGGAGATGAGGAATGGCCCACGCCCAGCAGAAGCCACAGGACAGCTAGATGACAAACGCCGGTGTTCACAGATTTGCCCAAAGCTCGTTTCTGCGGGAATAAGTGGTCATTGTTATAGGATATTTTCTAGGTCTTGTTTGGTGCGGATTCTGGCTTGGTGCTGGTAACACCATTCTGTGTGTTAACAATCACACTCTCTGCAGATTGAGGAGCTCACCCAGACTCTTTCTTGCAATTACAATCAACCTTCCGTGGATGACGTGAGCGCGGTGGATTCGTCTTCTGCCTCAAGTCCGCCAGCTAAGAAATGCTCCACAGCCCAAGCACGGTGGCAGCTGTCCGCAAAGAAAGCCCTGCTTGTGTGGGTTCAGGAGCGTTGTGCCATGTAAGTAGCTGCTCTGACTGCAAGGGGCATGCAGGGCGGCCGTGCCCACTGCACACAAACTCCTGGGCTGACTGATGTGGCACCGCCAGAACGCCTTTCCTCAGGAGAAAATTCTTACCGGCTCCCTTCATTTTCCACGGCATCTTCCCAACATGGCGGTCCGTGAGCACAGCCACATGGTTTCCGAGGCCAGAAGGTGGACTTTCTGAGTAAATGTGCCCCGGTTGCTGTGTTTGTGTGGCCCATTGCCGTGGAGAAGGAACGTGGAACTTAAATATCCTGTCCTGTGCCTGTAGGGGGTAGATTCAGATCTAGAGCTTTGCCACACTAGGACCTCTTTCAAAGTCAAGACTGTCTGAGATGACTGCGAGTCCCCAGGGCCTAGCATAGTGGAAGTTCACAACAAGTGCTCCATAACTGTGTGTTCAATGAACGAATTAACAAACAAGAAAGTAACCAATTCGTGAAGTTATCTCTTTGTGCTCTCTAGAGTTGTGTTAGAGAACAGTCTTAGGGGCTGGGGATTTAGCTCAGCGGCACAGCGCCTGCCTAGCAAGCACGAGGTTGTGAGTTCGATTCCTGGTACCGGGAAAAAAAAAAAAAAAATTGAGAAGAGTCTTCACTACTTAATTCAGTTAAGAAACTAAGAGACCAGGGAGGTTGTATTTCGAAAAAGTATGGTTGATGAAGGGAAGTCTGTGTTTATTTATTTATTGTTTGTTTGTTTATTTTGAGACAGGGTTTCACGTTGCTGTGTGGGCTGGCCTTGAACTCACTATGTAGCCTAGGCTAGCCTCTAACTCATGGCAGCAATCCTCCTGCCTCAGCCTCCTGAGTGCCAGGATTATACTTGTATGCCACACTTGGCTTTGTTTTCAAACAAAGGAAATTCTTTCTGCTCCCCAAAGGCATTTTCTATTTTCAGCAATGGCTGGGAGGAGTTTTCAGCTCATTGTGGCATTGTCCGGATAAACAGAGTCATACATGTTGCTGGGGCCTTGCAAATGAGGATTTCTTAGTAAGTCCTTCCTAGTGAGAGACAGGGGGATGGAGGTTAATTCTGCCTATAGCCTCGTCTTTTTTTAGTAGTCACCCACTGTATTTTGGTTTATGAGGTACACAAACGTATGTACCTAATGTTCTAAATGTATTAAGTCAACTCTTTCTTGAACATGCTCGAGAAAGTTTTACTTTTGTTCATCCAAAATTGCATTGTGAAAATCACTATTTTACTGTATTCAGATTTTCTTCGTTTGTGTACAAATTGCCTTCAAACACTTTCAAAGCCTCATATATTTTACTGCTGTGTATCTTTTCCCCATGTTCGACCACAGAGTGGATACTAAATTGATTAAGATGAAATTCCTCAGTCTGGCGTGGTGGTACATGCCTGCAATCCCAGCACTCTGCGAGACTGAGGCAGGAGGATCGAGAATTTGAGCCTGGCCGAGGGAACTTAGTGACTCAGTGAGACCCCGTCTCCAGACCGAAAGGGGCGTGTGTGTGACTCAGTGAGACGGCCCTGGGTTCATCCTAGTTTTGGCCGCCGTCGGTGATATATTAAATAATTGTATTTCAGTGTCCCACAGCTCTCTGGGTCTCAGATGTAAGGCGGTGCCCTAGTGTGTTGTGTTTTGTTATTTGTGAAACAGTTGAATTAGTCCGCATGCCCCGCTTCCAAAGGGGCCTGTTTCCCGCCAGTTGTTCTGGCGCCTAACCCTGCCTTCTCTGAGAGCCAACAGCCACGTTGTCTTTGTGGTGCAGCGCACAGTAGACGTGGGGCCTGGTGCCCTGCTTAGTACGGCATCGAGCTGGGCTGGCCCTGCACACAGCGGGTGCTCTGGGCCTTAGCTCTTGCTTTAGCTTCGTATCCAAGAGCATACTCTGAAGCCAGAGTACCTGGGCTTAACGTCCTGCCCCTAGTACTCTCTAAATGGTGACTCTGGACACCTAATTTTCCTCTCTTCTCTTTTTCCATCCTTCCATTTGTGTTGCAGGTTGGGTCTCAGGCAGGCCTACCAGGCAAGCTCTCTACCTGTCTTAGCCACCCTCTTATCATTTGATTCATGATATAGTTCATTGAGTTTGTTTTTATTAGATACTAAAGGTAATTGTAGTTGTTCTGGAATGTTTCCCAAACACTGCAGGCAACTACACACTTCTGAGATTTCCACTGATCCCTTATTTAATACGGGAGTATTATTGATTGAGTGATTCAGAATCTGTCCGTCACAGGTTAAGCCTGGCAGGCAGCGTTTGGCAGTGACTGTGCCGCGGTGAACAGGGCGGGCAAGGCCTTGCTGCTCAAGGCCGTGCACCCTGGCGGGGGAGACAGGAAGAGCAGTGGTGATTACAGTTGGCAACAAGATTAGGAAGGATGTGTCATCTGGTCAGGAGTGTTCGGGATGGAGAGGGCCGCCCTTGGCGGAGGAGGCCGGGGAGGCCTTGCCGAAGTGCCTTTGAGCTCACACCCGAAAGCGAGGCTTCGGGTGGATCAAGGTCTGGAGCAAGTGACCGAGAGCAAGAGCTAGTGGGCGTGTGGCTTGAGAAACCGGAAAGAGCGCAGCCTGGTGCAGGTGCTGGAGGAGAAGGGAAGATGCAGGGATGGGCCGGGAAGGCAGGGCTCGATCCCACGGTAACTGTCAGGACCATTATTTTCAAGTGTACGCTTCTGTGGCACTTAGCATTTTGCTGTGCATCACCACTGCCCACGGCCAGAGTCATACATGTTGCTGCGGCCTTGCAAATGAGGATTGGCCAGAACTTCCTCCATCTTTACAGCTGAGACCCCGTACCTGGTGAGGGGTATCTTCCTGCCCATCCTCTCTGCAGCTCATTCTGCTTCCTGTCTTTGTAAATGTGTCTGCAGGAGCTGCCTCCTGTGAGTGAATCAGACAGTATTTGTCCAGTATTTGTTACTGGCTTGTTTCAGTCAGCCTAAGGCCTTGTAAGGTTCATCTGTGTTGTATCAGTTCAGCTTCCCTTTCCTGTTTAAGGCTGAATACTATTCCATTGTATGTGAAGGCCACATTTGTTCTTCACCTTGCCCATAACGACAGATGTTAAGCAGAGGGAAGTGAGGTCTGCTATCCAGTGAGCTATGAGCCATTGCATTGGCCTGATCATTTAGTTTGCGCCAGGGAGGAAAAACAAAAACAAAAGCTGTTTTCTGTAGTGAAGGATCTTAACTCACGTGGAGGTCTAACATCAGTCTTGAGCCTACAGATTGCTGAGTGAGGGCACCAGTCATAAGAATGATTATCACCTGGGGCTCCTGCAGACCAGGATGCCAGGCCGGCCCTGGAGTATGAATCTGCAGTTACTGGGAAGGGCGTGAGGATTTGCATTCCTAACACCTAACACCTAATGCCGCTTCTAGCTGCAGCCCCCTTTGAGAGCCAGCTTCAAACTTGATCGTCATCAACCTTGGTATTATACTTTAATTTGACAACAAGATTAAAATAAAAATCATTTGCTAAAATGATTTATATTATTTATTTGGCCCGCTGACTTAGGTTGTAATTAATTAACTATAGTGGAAGGATTTTAATATGTTACTTTTAACAGTACGTATCGTGTCCTTCGGTGGCAGGCATGAGTCTGTCAGTGTGACAGACTTCAAGTCGAGCTGGAGAAATGGGGTGGCTTTTTTGGCTGTCATTCATGCCTTGCGACCAGACCTCATTGACATGAAGAGTGCGAAGCAGAAATCCAACAAGGACAACCTGAAAGAGGCCTTCGGAATTGCAGAACGAGAACTGAAAATCCCCAGGTTGCTGGAACCGGAAGGTAAGGAAACTCCTTTCTTTTTAAAACAGTTTTTCTTTTAGGATCTACCACGAAGTCGATTTTAAAGTAGTGTCTCTGTAAAAGCAAATATGACAGCATTATGTTTTAGTCCTGCAGGGTTTAATGTAAACTCTTTATTGAATTTCATGAAGTTAGGCATCCCTACCAGTTAGTTCACGTCAGTAATTGTGGGGTGCGACCACAGCTGATAGGAAACAGTGCCTTCATCAGGAATTATCTGCGCCTTCGTCTTTGCGACCTGTTGCCGTCTATGTAGTGTTGTTCTTGACTCTGTTATTTCTGTTCTAAATCTGTCCTGTGTGATGTTTCTTTTGAGCCTTGAATTCAGTTGTTTATGGATCTCCTTTCTCCCACTCCTCCCGCTGGGCCAAGCCATGGCTCTAGGAGAACAGAGACTGGGGCTTTCCCTGGTCTCCTTATATGGCTGGCCAAGCCCTGCTGTTGATTCTGCTCCGTCAGTGGCGTTGGAGTGTTGGCAACAACAAGAAAACCCCAAATACGGAATTGCTTGTAGTCACCGAGGTTGTCACCCCATTGTAATTATTTTAACTTCATAACGTTAAAGATTAAAATAATTTCTTTCTGTAAAGCACTTTGTTTTGGATTGTATTATTTCATAAACAATACATCCATACAAAGTTACTAAAAGAATGAAGTCTCAGCTGATGATGTGGCTCAGGGCAGAGCATGTGCTTATCTTATGCAAGGCCCTGGATTTGATCCCCAGCGTGCGCGCGCGCACACACACACACACACACACACACCCACACCCCTAATTAAAAAGTTGTATGTAGGACTAGTAATGATTGTAATGGACCAACAGATAAAAAATTTTTGTCTCAACTTTGTAACTAGAAATGTGTATTATAAATGTCCAACAACCAGCTTTCCAAAACAGTGTGAAATACACATATCATACATGTCTATTATAAATTTTAGTGATATAAAGAATGTGTATTTATAGTTACAATAATAAAATGTATGACATACTTTCGTATGTCATACAAAATTTACTTACTGTAAATTCCAAAGAGTCCCCAGTTGCTTTGTGGACTTTTGCCGTGCCCTTGTACCTATCTGCAGGTAACGTAGGATTGCAGCCACTGAATGAGCGTAGTTCAGATGTGAACGTCACTTGATGGTTTCCTTTAGAGTAATGGGTACGTGGAGTAGCACGCAGCGTGTCAGAATTTCATGTGTTCTTTAGTGACACAAATGACCTCTTTGTTGAATCACATACTGGAAGAATATTTCCTTATTTTTTATGCTATTCACAATTTAGTAGCTATAGACAAGGCATATTTTTAGGATTTGTCCTTTTTGAGACAGGATCTAGCTATGCAGTTTGGGCTGGCCTTGAGCTCACTTTGTAGACCAGGCTGGCCTCGAACTTGCAATGATCCTCCTGCCTCAGCCTTGCCAGTGGCTGTATTTTCCTTATTTTAATATATGCAAGTGATAGGTCAGCTAATGGAACAGAAAACAGAATAAAAGCACATTGCCACCGTATGAGTGATTGCTGATAACTCATCAGAAATGGCTTAAATAATAGCCTGAAAATGTGAAATACATTATTATTTATGCAGACTAAGCCTCGCCGTCATGTTTGAATCTTTCGATTCCGTTTGTTAAATTTTTATTTTTATTGGTACGTGTTGGCAATACATAGTGATTGCATACCTTGCGGGAAGTTGGCACATGTACATACATGACACATCTCAATTCAGTTTCATCCTCCACCCTCTTGACTTAGTTTTGTTAAACTGTTCCATCGCCATGCGTTACGGTTTCATATAAAATGAGGTATGTTTAAAAAGAAGTACCTAGTCAAGTTGGTGTCGTTATTTTATGCATCTCTCGATATTTGCACTTTTTCCATTGAACAGAATAACTCATCTATTAGGAATCTTTACTATATTTGAAACCCCATCCCCAGCCTTTCATTGATCGCTTTTATATGTTTATATGCTTGCTGCCTTGACTTCTATGTTTGTGTATGGATTAAATTTACTTTCTGCCTCAGCCAGCTTATAGAGCTTTTTGGGCCCAGCAAACATGTCCACTAACACAGCCATAGTGTGGTGTATTTGCTGATAGTTTATTTTTCTCCTTGTCATAAACTCCTTGAGGGCCAGTCATGTCTTAGAGTATCAAGCATCTTCTTATTGAATGAATAAGGGAATGAAACATAAAGTCCCTAAGTGTAAGGACTTGACATTGTATGTCTTGTACTCCGTACCTGTTACCCACAGTTTACTAGCTCTATAAATACTTATTGCATTGAGTTTAACTGAATTGACAAATAGAAAAGGTTTCTTTTTCAGTAATCTTCGTTACTTGCTTTGGCACCATATAAAGAGACATAAAATTGCGTGGTTTGACTGTGACATATTGTGTCCCTTTTGTGACTTTGTGATCTACTCTGTTTATATCCCTAGAAGTCCTGAACTTAAAAATTTTAAATTCTTTTTAACTTCGTGTGATTCTGCACTTTTCAAACTTGTTTCACCGTAGACTTCTTGAGTGCAGCACAGAGCTTGGCCCTTAAGAAGGTGCTCAGCAAATTTGTTACATAAATGAATGAACAAACTGTTGAGTGTCTCCAACAAGTGTTCCCTTCAAGGTGTACTTTTGGAAATGCTTTACAGTACAACGCATAGACCATTCTGTCAGGAATCGATTCTGGTGGCTGTACGTTCCTGCATTCCCAGAGGGCTTTCTGCCTGTGTCCCCAGAAAGGGAAATGGTGGATGGTGTGATTTTCTTCTAACTCCCTGACTACCGTGTCCTTCCCTGTATAGCATCCACAGGGATACCTTATTGCTAGGACACCGAGGCTTGCATGTATCCATGCCGGGGCTCCACCCGGATAACTGCAGCTCTAGACACAAGCTCCTAGTCACTGCCCAGGGTCAGAGCAATGCTGAGTCCACAGAGATTGCATGGCTTGTAAAGTACTTTCAAGCGCTGGTCAGCCCAGTGGCATAGGCCGTGACATAGTTCTCTCTCTTTGTTTTTTTTTGGTGCCGGGAATCGAACTCTGGATCTTGCCCTTGCCAGGCAGGCACTGTAACCAGTGAGCTATATCCCCGGCAACATAGTTTTCTCGAGTGCTAATTACAGGAAATCACATGTCCGGCTCACTGAGAGTGTGGTGTCTCTTGCAGATGTAGACGTTGTTAATCCTGATGAAAAGTCAATCATGACGTATGTGGCACAGTTTCTGCAGTATTCCAAGAACAAACCTGCCTTTGGAAGCAGAGCTCAGGTGTGTCTTTATCACTACAAATCAAGCTCCTTTTTGTTGTCTATAACTACTGCTTAATTTTTTTAAGTGAAGTATAAATTGCACATAGACCTTAAATGTACATACTTCTTGTTGTGTTTTGACAAGTGCATGTACCTGTGAATACTGTGCCCCAGTCGTGATGGGAAGCATTTTTATTACCCACAGTATTCCCTCATGCCTCTCTCTGGCCCCTTCTCCTCCTCCCAAATTAAATTAAGCTGGATCTTAAAGAGCTTTAGAGAGACCAAATTTTTTATCTACTGTAATTTTTATTTACTTTGTTGATACACACTTTGAATACCATAAAATTGAACTGTTGAAAGTGTATGACTCAGTGGGTTTTAGTGACGCACATAACCATGTGGCTGTTACCATCTAACTTTAGCACATTTCCATTTTGCTTGTTGTTTAGCTTCATGTAACTGGAACTGTGTAATTCACGTAAATGGAAGCATTGTGTTCTACTACTGGTCTCTGTTTGTTGAGATACTGTTGAATTACTGTGAAATTCCCATTTGATTCTTCAATTTTTCCCTTTTCCTTTCAATCCGTTACATAAAATGTAGGTAGAAATTTTATAAAAAAAATCACCAAACCCCTGAGGAGAAGAACCCTTACTCTACTTCCATGAAGATAAATGAGAGTTGTGATTTAGGAACATGTTCATGATTATTATTTTAAGATTAAAACTGCTTCCTCAAACATGTTTGCCTACATTGTATTTGACAAGCTGGGCCTGTTTTTCCGTCTGTGACGGTGGAGGCTGGGAGCCAGGCTCAAGGCGAGGCCCAGGGTTATAAGTCAGCTTGCTTATTTCTGACTGGCTGTGGAGCTACACTTTTCTAATTAATTTTCAGATTAAAAATAAAAATTCAACTGTCCATGAAATTGGATGTAAAAATATTAGAAATTCTCTTGCTCGCTAGAGGAAAAAAAAGGCAAATGTTGGTTAAAGAAGAATAGAAATAAGATGTGACTTCTGCCTTATCCTTTAGCAGTAAATTCTACTCCCGAACATAAGCTTCCACCTGCACAAGGACCTAAACAGAAGTCACTGTCCCTAACGTCTGCATGATAACAATCTAAACGTTCAGGAGTATTTTCTTTTTGTTTTTGTCTTTTTGAGACAGGGCTTCACTATACAGTTCAGGCTGGGCTTGAACTTACTCTGTAGCCCAGGCTGGCCTTGAACTCACAGGGATCCTCCTGCCTCAGCCTCCCAAGTGCTGGGATTGCAGGCATGTGCCACCACACCTGGCAGCAATGTTATTTCAGTACCTTTCAAATGTTTGAGATTTATTTTTTTAAGTCACTATTTTTTAGAGACTGAACATCTTCCATATAGATTTATTGGGAAGCACTCTTCAAAACTGCCTGGTTATAAAGCAGCAATTTGGAATAATGTTCTCTGAAATTGAAGCATAGTGGAAATGGATAGGCAGGAAAAAAAGGGACATTGCTTACCCTCACTCCTTTTTAAAGCGCACGGATGTTCAGATGCTAGTTTTCATCTCTTTTAAAATTTAAGGTGTTACATGAATAAGAAAAGTTACTCCTTAGTGTAGTGAATCATTGGTGTATGCTGGTGACATTATTTCACAGAAATTTCAAGTATTGTTTAAAAAAATTGTATTGTTAAAAAAATACTCATATAATCTAAGTTTGTGTGTGTGTGTGTGTATGTGTGTGTGTGTGTGTACATGTGTGTATAAATTACAGGGCAAGGTGGAAGATGCAATGGCCTGGCTCACCCTGCAAGAGAAGAAACTACAGCAGGTGCAAAAGGACACAGAAAATGAGACCTACTTTAATAAATATCATGTAAGTACGATATTGAACACCTTTTATTGTTTATTCTTTTAGGGAGGAGTAGTAAACACATTTTTGGAAAACTCTTTTGCAGTTAATTTTTCTTTTTTTTTTTTTGTCTTTTTGAGACAGGGTCTCGCTGTGTAGTTCAGGCTGTTCCTGAGCTCACTTTGTAGCCCAGGCTGGTCTCAAATTTGCAACGATCCTCCTGCCTCAGCCTCCCGAGCGCTGGGATTATAGGCATGCGCCACCACGCCTGGCCTGGAGTTAAATATTGAAACATTAAATCAACCCCAAGTTTTAGGGCTGAATTGTAGGCTTGTGCTCCTGCAACATTCATGCATGTACGAGTCACTGGTCGTCTTGTTAGTATCTGTATTTGGACACGATGGTTCTGGAGCAGGGCCTGAGAGTCTGCATTCAAACAGGGGCTCTAGGTGAAGTCAGTCCTGCTCTTTGCAGTACTCCAAGGAGCGATATTCCACAGCAAGCACTGGCAGAGCATGGCCCAGGAGCCCTGATACCTGTTTTTGTAAACAAAATGAGCTGTTCTTGTTTAAATGTGGTCACGGTACAACCTGATTTGAGTAGCCATGAGAGAGACCATCCAGCCTAGGATATTTACTCCGTCCCTTACATTAAATCTGTCCACCCGCTGGTTTGTAGCAGAACATACACAAACATGTAGCAGGAAAGGAAAAGTCAAGAAGTCAGCTGTAGACATCCCAGAATTCCAGCACCGGGCCTCAGCCACGACTTCCTTTAGGGAATAATGACCTCGGTTATAATCACTACACCTGGAACACCTGCCATGCACTGGGCCCTGGCCAGTAAGCATTGTATAGGTTAACACGTCTTGCTGAGTTCGGTATTGTTATCTCTGGTATCTATAAAGATGCAGACAGTAAGGTTTACCAAAAGCTGCATAACCACTAGTAGGCAGAGAGGAAATGCGAGTAGGGGTCTAGGTTTTAATCCTGGCTCCTTTTACATCCTTCTGCTTTGCTGGGGTAAGTAGTGGTTCATTATAAAGTTTCAAAGGAGCCAGAGTGAAGGTTTCTCAGTTCCCTTTCATAGAGCGCCTTGTACCTGGCCTCCTCCTCTGCCCTGAGTGGCCTGGAAAGACTGTCCTGCTCCCCCTTAGCACTTGTAGGCCTCTGCTCCCTGTGTTTCTTTTTATTTATTTATTTTTTTATACTGGGGTATGAATCCAGGGCCTCACACATATGCTAGGCAAGTGCTCTATTACTGAGCTACATCCCAGCTCTCTTATTTTATTTTGACATAGAGTCTTGCTGAGTTGCCCAGGCTGAGCTTGAACTTGTTGTGCTCCTGCCTCAGCCTCCCTGATAACTGGGATTACGGGCCGTCTGTTCAGCAAGGGAGTTGGAGGAGTCTGGCCTTTCCCCCTGTAACAGTGCAGTGTGTGACCTGTGGGCCAGACCGTTCTTTTTGGTTTGGGGCCATTTGGGAAAGAAGAGGTCTGACGTTCTTGTCTTTTGGTCTGAACAGGGCAGGATTCTTACATTTCATCCCGCTCTGCTCTGAGAGTCTTTTTAGTGGTAAGATGCCCAGTGTGAGTGGGAACGCCTTGTTCAGATACATGTATGAGTTAGTAGTGTTAGTAATTAGCATACATTCATGTTTCTTAAAAGGCTTTATGCAGTCAGTAAAGAGTCAGCTTTATGCAGTCAATAAAGAGAAAGAAAACAAACTAACTGTCTCCGTTTGCATTTTTGTTCTTGCTGTTTTTGGAGACAGGGTCTCATTTTGCTGCCCAAGCTGGTCTCGAGCTCCTTGGCTCCAATAAATGATCCTCCTGCCTCAGCTTTCCAAATAGCTGGGACTCTAGGAGTGTCCCACTGTGCACAGCTTGCGTAAAGTTGAATTAGAACTACTGTCAGTAGTTATATTTTAAGGAATATTTTTGGAACCGATGACTCCTGAACACTAATGTTTTACACAAATATGAACCAGGAGTAGCTATTAAATTTCTGACGACAGGAAGAAGGTGGTTTTTAGTTAGCATGAAATGAATCGGGAAGGACTCCAGGCTCAAGCTCGATTAATCACAAGCACTTTGAATATCACTGCGCACAGCCGCTGTGATCCACTTCTTGCATTTACTCAGTCATTTTGTAGTGAACACACATGTGGGGAGGACAGACCCACCCCGGCTTTGCGTGTGGCATCGTGATCTGTTCTCTAGAGCTGGGTGGCTGCGGCTCCGTTTCAATAAGCATCCAGTGGGACTGAGAGAGGTCACAGGCCAAGATTAGTATCATTTTGCTGTACCCAGGTCATCAGGGCACACCGAAGAAAGACACCTGATCAGAGAGAGAATGCTGGATTCAGGGACTGCACCTTGATCTAAATAAAAACAAATACATCCTTGAGCTGTAGACTTTAAAATAGCAGGTGACGCTTTGGAAATGGAATGAGTGTTCCAGTCTTTAAAATACTCTTCTAATTGTAGAGCCTGCTCTCCTTTACGGAGTCATTCAATGAAGAAGCAAAATCCTTCATGGACATCCTGTCCCTAAAAGGGAGCGTGCAGGAGCCGGATGAGGATCAGAGACAGCTGAGAGAAGGCTGGAGCCGTCTCCACCACCAGGTGACTGCCTTGCAGGGGATGAAGAGCTTTCCCAGAGGGCAGCTTGCATGTGTTGTTGAAGAGTTTACGTAGACTTCCCGGGGGGAATTCTGTGAAAGACAGGCGAGGTGCTCTGGCAGGAAATGGGACGGTGTGTGCGCGTTGTTCCATGGTATCGGTTGAGGTAGTAGTTGGGTTTACTGTTTTGTTTTGTTTTGTTTTTCTTGCTGTAGTGGAGATTGAACCCAGGACCTTCACACTGAACTACATCTTCATCTCTTTTTAAATTTAATTTTAGTTTTTAAAATTTTGAGACAGGGTCTTGCCAAGTTGCTAAGTTCCCCAGGGTGGGCTGAAACTTGTGATCCTCCTGGCTCAGCCTCCCAGAGTGCTGGGATCACTGGCCTGTGCCATTTGCCCAGCTGTCCGTTAACTTTGTCTCTGCTTTTTCATATCACTTTTGCTCTAGGGATTACAATACATACTCCAAACTGTTAAGTCTATGGAGAGTTGCACAATTTTGTACTGTGCAGCTTCTTTTCACGCGTAAAGATCTTGCAATTGAGCTGATTTACTTATCTCTAGTTCTTTATGCTGTCGTTATTTTATATGTAAATACATGTTGCACATATTGATATATGGCACAAAGCATAGGTATGAAAGTTCCCAAGGCCGTGGTATAGTTTTTTTCACTCTAATCGCCTATATATGTTCAGGCACCTCAGTGTTATGGTTGGTAGGACATCAGCCTCATACATAGCCATATATTTCAAAGAATTTAAGAGAAAAAATTAGTAATTTTTATATTTCTCCATATATTTACCATTTCTAATTCTTCTTATAGATTTTAGTTTCCATTGGGCCTCTTGCCTCTGCCTAAAGATTTAACTTACTCTTGTAAACAGTGACAACTTTGCTTGGTTTTCTTTGCTCTCCAAATGTCTGTATTTTGCCTTCATTTTTTTTTTTTGGTTTTGGTTTTTCTCTGGTACTGGGAACCGAACTCACGACCTTGCGCTTGCCAGGCAGGCGCTTTACCGCTAAGCTAAATCCCCAGCCCCTTTGCCTTCATTTTTAAAAAGCAACTTTATTGAGGTATAATCCACCTATCATAACATTGCAAGTGGACAATGAAATGATTTTTTGTAATGAGTTTACAGAATTCATTAAAAGTGAGTTCATTCCAGAGTTCATTCCATTAAAGAACCTACAAGAGACTGTGTGGCTCAAGAAGCCAAAACCCCTCACCCTGGCCCTGCATGGGAGAAGTTTGGCTGTCAGGAGTGAGTTTGTTTTTAGAATACACTTGCTGCACCATTCATTGAGTGTGTGAGGTTGTCATCCAGTAGCTCAGCAGAACCACCTTTGTAGCGGACCCGCTCCTGGGAACCAGCGCGGCCCTGGGATTGTCACGTGGGCATCTCTGCACTGCCAGCGCCTGCTGATCTCTGTGCAGTGCCTGACTCTCGTACAGGGATAGAAGCCATCTGTGCTGCGTCCTTACAGGACAGAGGAGGAAGAAGTCGATGTCTGTGCCATTCGCACTGCTCCAGGCCAGAGAGACCTGGCTTCATTTTGTGGAATATAATTTGGAAAAATGACACTAAATAAGGAGGAAAACCACGAAAAGAATGTCTTTGCACAGTGAAGTGCTGCAAGCTTATAATATCTTGGAAATCTGTACATTCGTCAGGTAGATGGCAGCTCATTTTTTTGGTGGGGCAACATGAGACATGCTGGTTTTCAAGTCACCAGGTGTCTCAGTGTTAATACCATCTAGATAACTTCTGGTTCAGTAGTTTGAGAACACAGATACCTTAAACCACAGAAAGCACCCTAGGAAATGGTTTCATTTCAAGATTACTACGGAAGAGAGCAGCATCATCTGAGTTGGACCTGGTAAGATCGTGCATAACTTTTCAGCCAAATTCAGAACTAACCGACTGAGAAAAAAAATGTGGAGCCTGCTTTCTGTTTTCAGTGAGAAAGGAGCGGAGTGAAAGGCGAGCACTGCCTCGGTTTTCCCTCCCGTGTTTCCTGGCCAAGTATCTTGAGTGTGATGTTGAGTCAGAAACACAGGTTTGGTTTTATTCAAAACAAATGCTTCATATAGCTTTCTCTGAGTTGTGCAAAGATTTATTGTTGAATTAGAGTTTTTGTGTGAAGCGTCTCTCTAACCCAAGAACTTACTGATTTTATGGCTTATTTTTATTTTTTTGGCAAATATGCCAGTAGTTAGATATAATAAAAGCACACAGTAGGGACTGGGCGTGTAGCTGAGCGGTAGGATGCCTTCCTGGCATGGGCGAGGCCCTGGCGTCCATTCGGGCATCCCAGAAGACAGGGGGGAAGGGCTCATGCCAACTCGCTTCTATTAAAAATTTGCAACAATGAAAACATTATTGCCAGATCTTGATGGCACATAGTTAATGATTTACAGTTGTAGGATTGTTCTTACAATAAGGAGAGTAAACTTGCAAGGCCAAAAAAAAAAGACAAAGCAAAATGTAAAAACTATAGTATTTAATGCTTCTACTATATGAATACTTACATTTGATGACTTTATTGGAGTATGGTTTTTTTCTCCTATGTTTGGTTTTGTTTTTTTGAGGTCCTAGGGGTTGAACCTTGGGCCTTCCATGTGCCAGGCAAGTGCTCTGCCACTGAGCCACTTTCCCAGCTCCTGTCCTCATTCTGTGTACCTGAATGAGTAGCTGGTTACATCTTGTTTAGATGTTTGCTCTTTTTTTTTTTTTGTACTGGGACTTGAACTCAGGACCTCCTGCTTGTGAGGCAGGCATGATTCCGCTGAGCTATGTTCCCGGCCCTAGATGTTCGCTTTGCATGTAGTGGATACCCAGTAAATGTTTTTGAATGAATGAATAGGAATCAACCCATGGAATATACAAAGTTTGCCTACTCTTTCCTCTACTTAAAAACAGTTGAACTCTGAGAATAGTAATATTCATTTGGTAGGTCTCGGTCATAGAAAGAGAAAATACAGGCTTAAGACCTGTACTTTCATCAGAGCAGGTTATTGGAGTAAAACACATTCTGGTTTGTGCTCAAAGGTCAGAGGCGTGTCTTTAGGTTATGTTAGGAGGGTCACAAAAGCAAAAGTGAGTTACAAGGCTAGAAAGTCCTATTCTCGATGGATTAGTGCTGCTGTCAGGAGGGAGGGATCTAGGGGGGATTTTTGTTGTGCTTAAGAAATGCAGTCATCACTCAGGGCTCCCCCTCTTCCCCCAGTGCCCAGGAGCTGTATGGTTGCCTTTGTCACTTGCCGCAGCTTCCTGTACCCCTGTACTTGTCTTTCGCTCCCCACAGGGGCCTCAGTGAAGAGCTCTGGCCTTCATTTCTCTGACAGGCCTTTTGACCAAAGGAGTCACGTTAAACTAAGCCCTTTCATCCATCCATGGCATAGGAGCCTGAGCAAAGTCCCACTCCTGTTTTGATTCATTTGTTTTATTGTGTGCTTCTTATTTTGTGTTCATACTTTCTGTTCTTCCCACTCCTCCTTAGGCAGTCATGTTGAAGTATTTAATGTGTACCCTTTCGTGTACATGTTTTTGCAAAATACACTATACAAAATATATATATATATATATATATATATATATATATATATATATAGTTTCAGTTGAGTTGCTGTTGTTTCATACTTCTATTATTGAGTGCAGATGAAGGAATGTTTGTGTGGCTTCTGTGGGTGCTCTGAAGGCAGGAAAATCCAGATGCAAGGGCAGCAGCCCTGAAGGCGAAGGCAGGAGAGCACAGTGCGTGTGAGCCGTCAGGACTGGGCGAGCGTGTACATGTGGGGTGTGGCAGGAAGGCCAGGAAGGAAGAGGTGTGCCTGGCCTGTGGAGTGCTGTGGAAGCACAGATTTTAGGAGATAAGGCGAAGATATCTAGTGTGAACACATGTTTAGGGCAGTAAGGAAAGTCGTCTCCACATCTGCGTGGAAATTGAAGCTACAGTGTCAAAGAATACAAGGACATAAAGAGTTCAAGTGGTAGTCCTTGGTCATGACTGTCCCTGCCTAAAGCAATACTTTAAATATTTTCAGTTTCCCCCACATGATTTATTTATGGATTTGTCCAAACATTTCTTTTTCTGGCTCCTCCTTTTCCTACAGCTTTTGAACAAATTACATCCCTCATCAGCAAGTAGCTAAATGATATTTAGAGCTAAGAGATTTATCTGTGGATATTTCCTTGCTAATGGATCCCATGTATCAGTCTTGGCTTGCAGGGAAACTTTAAAGAATGAATTGTACCTTATCTGGAGAACTAACCTAGAAAGTTCTGCTGAAAGACCTCCTCTCTTGTTTGCAGATTAACGCTTGGAAAACAAAGCTGGACGATGCCTTGCCCCCGCCCCTGTGTGATATCGCAGCCTGCTTGCAGGAGGTAGAGGAACTGGGGGAGAAAGTCTTGCCAGGCTCCCCGGATTCCTCTGGCCCCGAGACTCTGACCCAGGAGAAAATGACTCTATATAAGGTTGGCAAAGCAAAGAGACATGGGAAACCAATACTGTGTTAGGGTCTGTTCCCGAGGAGAGATTTTGTCATGGAAAGAAGAGAGGCAAATGCAGTGGTAGCTGAGGATGGTGCAGGATGCGTTCCCTGGCATCTGGGGGCTCCAGAAGATACTTTCTTGTTCATGACGGTTGTGCTTGTTTAAGGGCAAAGCATTGAGAATAGAGTCCAGTAAATTCCAAAGCAACTGGAAAGTCTGCCCAAGAAAAGGCTGTGATTGGTTTAAAATGAGCGAGATTGGGTTCTCCCTAAAATGGTATGAAAAAATTTGCTAAGTGAGATTGGTAGCATTTGAGCTCTCCTAGGAAACTACACCGGTTAATGAAAGATTTTTTGAGTGGTTTTACCAAAGAAACTGCAGTCTGCTTAAAAGATATTTATCCATAAAATCTTAGTTTAAAATAAAGGAGTTATGACTTTTGAAAAAAAAAAATACCCATAATGTGAATGAGATAAACAAGCTCAATGATAATGTTTGGCAATAAATCCAGTTTATGTTGCGCTACGTTTCTTTTCAGAATCTGCTGGATAGATTTGACTCTCACTCGAACAGTCTCCTGGCCTTTGAAAATAAAGATAAGGAACATTTGCCATTGGTACCACCTGACAAATTGGAGGAAATGAGAAGACGGTTAGTAACACTGTCATTTCACAATGGGTGGTGCTTATGTTTAAGCAAGAGTATGACACCAGGAACCACAAAAATGTAGATACTTGGATGATTTCTGATAAGTAGAAAATCTTGATAACAATAACTTCATGTTTTAGGTAATGTTATATGGTGTTAGCATCATTTTTTATCGAATGGTAGAACACTATGATGTGAGCTTTGTCCTTTTGAGTTTGTTTTCTCATTTGTGAGTAGCATAATTATAACCAACCTGTCCGTGTCTCACAAGGGTATTGGACCAAATGGGTCTATCTGAGAGCATTTAGAATGCCATCTTCATGGAGGTTAACTGGTGGTTGTCTACATCATCTCTTTTCTCGTTATTTATAAGCAACTTATTAGAATAAGAGGGAGTTAGGCATAATAGTGAAAACTGCTTTGATATGTAAACTTTTAAATTGTAATTCCATTGAATTGTATACAAGTTTTCGAGGTTAGCAAGCTATCTTGCCAATCAGGATTTTATTACAGGATTTCTTAGTGGAGAATCATTCTGTCCTATTAGGTATTTTTACCTTAGAAATGGTTGTTTTCTAACTCGCTATGTTTGTTTTACACTGTTTTAAAACGAGAGGGGAAAACTCTATCAAGTTAAATTCTAAAACATGCACTGTTTTCCAGACTCAACATCATTTTGGAGAAAAAATTTATTCTACTTCTAGAATTTCATTACTATAAGTGCTCAATTCTTGGTTTGCTAGATGAAGCAAAATCAAAATTGGATGTCTGGAACATCAAATACGGGAACAAAGAGTCTGTGGAATTATTGCTGGAAGACTGGCGTGTAAGCTGTTGTATTGTGTCTTAGGCAACTGTTTTCCATGTCTGGTTGCTGGCTTTGCATTTTTCCTTGGCGGGGTTTCTCATCAGCTCTTAGATTTGGGGGTGGGTTTGGTTGGTAGCTCTTAATAGCTTCAGTGTTGCCTGGAAAAAACCAGTTACAGGTAGGCAAGTAGCAGACATAGGAAAGGGTAGGGAAATGCAGTTGTTTACAAAATTGAGTCAGACAGGACAGTTAATACAACAGAGAAGATTTCAATGTTTTTTCCATTATGAATTCCTCTTTTATTTGAAATTTTTGTTTCATATGTTTTTCTTTTTCTAGTTTATGGTTTCATTCAATAATTAAGATTTTTGGAATGTTTCGATCTTAGCCTCTCAAGTTTTAACTGTAGGAAAAACAATACATATTCAGTTCCGTCTTGAGATACTTTTTTTGATTTTAGCTCTTCCAGTTTGTAGGAAAAAATGCCTCAAGTGATTTAAACACAGGTGTATTTTCCAGCTTAAATTAAAACTGAAGCATCGCTGAAGTGTCATGTCCACAGCTGAGCCCGACGCATCTCTCAGTTTCTCTGGTTTTGGAAATAAGAGGGAAAGAGAAAAATCCAGGGCTGTAAATTTCAATGCAAAATTGAAAAACGTTATGAAGAGGAAGTTATTTATAATTTGTAGTTTAGGCATTGTATGTTCCGGAACGAGAAGCATCATTCTAAACTAGATTTGGGATATTTTGATTTCTTTAACCTTCTTTGAATTTTTGTTTTTCTACTTAATTGTAATAGTTCATTGGCAAATAGTAAGTGTACAACATATGCACGTTTCAAATTACCTCAGTATTTGTCTGTAGCAGAATTTAGTAGTAGCAATCTTTTTTTTTTTTTTTTTTTTTTTTTAGTACCAGGAATCAAACTCAGGACCTCGTGCTTGCCAGGCAGGTGCTTGTGCCGCTGAGCCGTATCCCCGGCCCAGCAGAGTTTAGTGAATGGTGCTTTCTCGGATGTTCTGGGTGGTGGATGGCATGTACTTTTAACATAACAAAAACCTAATATTAATAACACGCCTGGAAGAAGAACAGCCGATAAAATTATGCATTTGTTAATACAAAATATGTGGAGCAGGAGATTTTGAAATTCTTATAGTTAGTTTGACGTTTCCTACAAGAGGAAAAGCACTGTAGAACTTGCCCCCCTCCCCACCCCCCAACCTTGTCGTTTGTCCCCCTTCCTACAAAGCAGCTTCTCATAGTTACGGCTCCTAAACCCTAGCTCTCCTTCTTAGGAACTGCCCTTCCTCTTCGTCTACTCGAATGAACATTACTAAAGTACTGAAAAAAGGTTAGCTGCTGAGTGTTTCATCAATAACTAGATGTCTTGGCGTATTTTAAATGTAAAAATCAGTCTTTTTCCCTTTCCTTACAGAAATTTATCGAAGAAAAAGAGTTCCTAACTCAACTTGATACTTCTTTTCAAAGATGTGGAGAAATTTATAAGAATTTAGGTAAAGTAATTCAGTTACTTTTTTTTTTTTTTTTTTTTTTTTTTTTTTTTTGGTTTTTCTCCGGTACCGGGAACCGAACTCACGACCTTGCGCTTGCCAGGCAGGCGCTTTGCCGCTGAGCTAAATCCCCAGCCCCCAGTTACTTTTTTGATGGAATGACCACCACTGAAAAATAAGGTTTTATCTTTCTAAAGTTTTGGAAACTTTGTATACATATTTTCCTTGAGAAATTCTTGCTTTATTGCTTGCTGATTGATGGATTGACTGATCGCAGTACTAAGAATTGAACCGAGGGCCTTTACCATGAGCTGCTTCTCAGCACTCCCCTTCTTTTGTGCCAGGAATTGAACTCAGGACTTATGCTTACCAGGCAGGTGCTTGTGCCGCTGAGCTATATCCCCGGCTCTCAGCCCATTTTAAATAGTTTTGTTTTGTTTTGTTTTAAGGCAGGGTCCTGCTTGGTTGCTAAATTGCTTCGGCTGGGCTTGAACTTGCCATCCTGCCTCAGCTTCCCAGAATGCTGTGATTAACATTGGGATGAACCAGTACACCTGGCTGTGCTTTCACTTTTAATATTGTCAGAAAACATGTTTAGTTTACTACTGTCCACTAATATGCAAACGTTTTTAAACAGTATTACTAAGAAAAAGCTGCCTGGTAAGATTACTTTCTTGTTTTGCTAATACTGTAGCTGGCAAACGTGAAACTATTAATGAACAATACATGATTATGGAGGAGAATATTGGTATGTACAAAAAAAAAATAGAGAACATGAAGTCAACTCTGCAGAAAGTTCTGGCGTGTTGGGCTACGTATGCGGAAAAACTTCGCTCTCTAAAGGCTTATTTTGAGGTCACAAAGAAGGAACAAGTTTCAGAGGTATTTGCCGTCGGATGACACTGTTTCACTTTGACTTTTTAATTTTGTTTTTGTTTGGGGACTCTCATTTGCAATTCAAAGATGAGAATCCAGAAAAGGGCAAAGACAGCTTCTGGAAAATGCCCCCAGGTCTTGGAAGGAGTTTAGCTTCTTCTTAATATAACTGCCAAAAAGACATTTTCTCTACGTTATAGGCTTTACCCACTGAGCTTTATTGGGGTTCGGTTTATGTATACAGCAGGGCTTTTGGAAAATAGACTATTGCGAAGCTTTTACAAGCGGCAATAAGAGCCTCGGGGTACTGGGTAGCTCGTAGGGACATGCAAAGTGAATTCCCAGTTATATTTTTCCATTTGGTGGACACTGTTCACCTCTAAAACCTGTCTGAGTTCCTAAAGGACAAAAACTGAAATATTGTGGGCTGATGTTGAGAGGTCTAGGAGAAAGGTCAATCAATACACTATTATTTTGATGTGCCAATCATATGATAATCTATTTTGTGATTGTCTGCCTGTCTTAGTTACTTCTCTCATTGCTGAGACAAAATACCCAGTGCCCAAAGTTAAGGTAGAGGGGTTCACTTAGCGCACAGTTTGTAGAGGTTTCAGCCCATCATTGACGGCTCCAAGGCAGGGTGAAGTGGCCGAGGAGCAACAGGTCATGGTGAACGGGGCAGCAGAAGAAGCAGAAACAGCCAGAGAGCAAGACAAGCCTCTTTCTACCCCTGATATTGTATCCAGCCCGCAGGGATTAGGGCAGTTCCAAGCCAATCAGTGGACTGATCCAGCAGTCACCCACCCTTGATCCCGGCACCCTTTATTCCAGCATTGCACTACAGATTAGTCACACCCTCTAGATTCAGCTGCCTCTGAAAAGCCTGCTCCCCCCATGAGCGCATGAGGCTTTGCGGGGACGTCCAGACACAAACCATAACACTATCTGAGGTAGCTTTCTCCCTTTACTTCGTTCTTCTCTGTTGCAGATGGATGTAGATGGCCTTTCAAATTAAACATTTTCTAGGCAGAAACTAAAATCACTTAATGGAAAATAGGTTATTTGGATGAAAGTAAAATTTGAGTTAAGTGTATAAGTGCAAAAAAGAAAGCATTTTGAGTATTAGTGTGTCACTGATACCTACGTGGGTACCAGTTGAGATCTTTGGCTTCAAATGGTTCTTCTGTCTTTGAAGGCCCTCTATTGTAATGACATAACTCTGAGGAAAACAGCACGCTAAGGCTTGCACTTTGCAAACTCTGCTGAGTGGTGCTGCACTGCCAGAGTCCACAGGATACTTTAAGTTTTGAGGGTGACATGGCAACGTCTGTCTCTTGGGTACCACGCCACTACTCAGGACCTAAAAGTGGGAGCTATCAGATAATTGTTGGGCCTAGAGACTGTATAAAAAGATGACTGAGGCATTGAGGGCTGCACTAATTGAAAAAGTCTGCGAACCTATTCTGTAGCTCATCAGCCGCTCAGAGAGATAAGAGCAAACGCTTCCTGAGAGTTCAGGACCAGGCAAGAACAGGTACTGAGCACCTGCCAGACCGCAGTGAGATCTTGTCTACAGACTGGGGCAGTTCTCTCAGGGAGAGAGTCCCAAGTCTCTGCGAAGACCGTCACACTTAGTTTTGCTTAGAATTAGCCTCAGTAGAGGTTATCATAGGTAATAGAAAAACAAATATTGTACTCGTAAATACTTACGCTGCTTATATGTTATGTAGATTTCCTTTGAGACACTGTCACAGTGGAATGCAGACCACACTACTTTAAATGAAGCGGGGCATTTCTTAATTGAAGTCAGCAATGATGAAGTGAGATCATCTATTTCTAAAGAACTGAGAAGACTGAATAAAAGATGGAGAAAGTTTATCACAAAAACTCCACTTGTAAGTTATTCCTTTCAGGTTTTCTATCCTTCTTTTCCTCCCAGCCTCCCTTCCTCCCTCCCTTTGTTTATTTCTTTCAACAACTTCATTGAGATGTAATTCACATTCCGCTCACCTCACTGGTTTAGAGGTAAGTGTATAAGTGCAAAAAAGTGGCCGGGGGGTGCTGAACATACAGAGTTGAGCAGCTCTTACCGTGACCAGCCGGAACAGATCCGCGCCCTCTTGGAGAAGCCCCATGCCCGTCAGCACTCACTGCCCACTGCCTCGCAAACCTCCCAGCCCTAAGCAGCCACTAATCTACTTCCTTTCTCTGTGCATTGCTCTTCTGGATATTTCACAAAAAGAGAATCATATAATAAGTGGCTTAGCATAATGTTTTTAAGGTTTATCCACACTGGCATGTAATGGTGTACACTTCATTACTTGTTGTTAAAGAAAAACAGTCTGCTGTGTGGCTAGACCACTTTTTAAATCCATTCCTTGGTTGGTGTATATTTGGGTTCTTTCCCCTTTCTGAGGTGTCATCAACTGCGTGCTTTTTGGAACATTAGCCAGTAAGTGTCTGTGCACTTGTGTTTTGATTTCTCTTGGGTGTATGTCTAAGACCTTTTTTTTTTTTGTCTTTGAGACAGGGTCTTGTTGTGCAGTTCAGGCTGCCCTTGAGCTCACTTTGTAGCCCAGGCTGGTCTCGCACTTGCAGTGAGTGATCTACCTGCTTCAGCCTCCTGAGTCCTGGGATTACAGGCATGCGCCACCACGCCTGGCTCTCTGAGACCATTTTTAATTCTTGAACCCTTTCTATGTGCAGCTTTTTAGTTGAAATTCATTTATCGTTAAAGAATAAAGTAAGCATAATTTTACCTATTAGATTTCAAGCTGCTTGAGAATATACACTTACTTATCTTTATATTTCACCCAGTGCCTCAGAAAGACTTATAATAAATATTTTTATTCTCTTTTTCATAGGTTTGAGACTTGTTTTCTGAGACAGTCCCCATTTTGTAACAGTTTTTGACTGATGAACCATAACTTACTGTTTAGTTAGTATGTTAGTATGCAAATAGAAATACGAGCATTACATTTCATGAAATTAAATTTATATAGGAAATGAAACTACCACTTACAAAAAAAGAGGATCAGCCCATTCCTGAAGATTCTGGAAATATTCCACTATCTAAAGAAGACAAACCAACTGTTGATATTTCAATGGCTACATCAGTAGGAGTTCCTGAAAATCACAATCAGAATTTAAAGGTAAAATGGTTACACTTTGTAGGAATAATTTACCTTTGCTGTTTTGCTTTTTAAAACCTTGTATTGTTGAAATAGTGGTAAGTGTGTGGAGTATTAGATAACCGTTCCAATACGAACATTTTCCAGGAAATGCTGGGGCCGCTCCCTTCCTGGGTAGCACTAGCATAGAGGGGCCATGCGCCTTGGCCCACATGGACCATGTCCTGTGGAAGTGGGCGTGGCTTCTGTGTGGTGTGAATTGACTGGATTTTTTTTTATGGTAGAGAAAATTTTATTTATTTTTAAAAATTTTTTTATTTTAAAGAGTAAAAGAAGGATAACATAATAATGGGGGGGCTTACCAAATTACAGACAAAGTGGTAGGAAATTATCAATGGTTATTGTTTTACATATTGTTATCTACAAGATAGTTTCTCAGGAAAACAAATAGACAAATAATAGTTACAGACAAAAGAGGTAGGAGATTATCAATAGTTGTTGTACTATACTTTGGTATCTTCAAAGTGGCTTCTAAAGAAAATAAATAGAGCTATACATGAGTGACCTATTGAATAATCATTAACTTTTCTCAATGGTTGTTGTAGGAAACACATAGTAATAAACATGCATCCATTTATGAAATAGCATAGGAACAATACAAACAATACAAACATTACAGAGTTATGGACAGATTAGTAGGAAAATATCAATGGTTGCTGTAACACATGGTGGTATCTTCAAAGTGGTTTCTCAGGAAGACAGAGATATGCAAGAAGGATCTAAGTAGTTACAGCCTAAGGGTTGTCAAAAATAGCATATTACCTCCTCACCAGTGACTCCTTTCACTGAGGTGTGATGGCTGGAAAGAAGGCCAGGACTGAAAAGAAGGACCAAGAGACTTGCACCTGTGTCTAGCAAAAGGCTGTTTTCTTGTTCCTCCATAGTCATGATTACCCAGGGCTCCTCGATGGAGATGACGGTCTGGCCAGAGGGAGAAGGCAGACCATGCCCCAAGCCCTCTCATTCCTGTTGGACTAACTGGTAGCATGGGTCTGAGCTCTGGGGCCTCCACCTCAGAGGGCAGACCGATCTCCAGTGGTCACCTTTGCATTCAGGGCATGGCCCATAGGGCCTCTTAGGGCAGTTCCTCTTGAGGTGGCCTGGCTTTTAACAGTGGTAGCAGATGAATGCAGTCATTGAATTCTTGGGGCCCCGGGAATCAGACTTGGGATCTGTTTCTCTTAGTGGTGCAGCAAAAGCAGCTGCTTTTTCTTGGTCTCTTTGTTTTCTCTCCTTGGCCTCCTCCTCATCATGGCTATAGAATACTGAGGAGGCAGTTCTTACTAACATCGCAAGCGAGCCGTCTGGGGTGAAAGCCATTCTTTGTAGCTTTTTCTCTCCAGCCTCCCGACTGGATTTTTTTTCAAGTGACTTCTGACTAGATCTCAGAAATGGGCTAGCTCTGAATCTTAGGTTAGCTCTGAACTCTTTGTGTCTTGCTTTCTTTATGTAAAATGTGGGTAAATAATGACTGTCTTTGTTTTGCTGCGTAATTTGGAAGACTTTAGGTTATGGACATGAATATGGAAAAGGAACAAACAAACCATACACATGCAGAATGTCACACCTGTGGTTTCTGAAATGTGCTTCCTGTGACACCACTGTACCCAGTTTTCCTTAACTAATTTCAGAGGCTTTGGCCACATTGGTGCTGCTGTTTTCAACCATAAGGATTTCTGACTGGGGCTGGGATTTAGCTGGGGGTACTGTGTTTGCCTGGTGTGTGGGAAGCCCTGGGTTCAGTACCCAGCACAATAAACAAACAAGCAAGAACAACAACCCAGAAAAGTATACCTAATCCAGAAAAGCTGGAGAGATCTGAACTTGTGTAATATGCTTTCAGATGCAACACTCCTGAGTATTTATAATGTGATCTGATTAATGAAACTTAAAATTTTATCTATCGCATAAAGCTGTAGCATATCAATCTGCAAACTGCTGAGAGATTATTAGTGGGACAAGATGTTATCTTTCTGATTTTGAGTCTTTTTTGATGGTAGGTTACAGGAGCTATTACTGATACCTGTATTTAGTTTTATGTGAGTTTTAGAAATATGCAGTCTAATATTCCAAGTTATAATTTTATCAGTAAATGGAGATAATATATAACTGATAGAAATTAAAATGAAAGTGTTGTAACAAGTGTTACAGCTCATAAAACAATGTTTACAGCACGTAGAAAGTGTTTACAGCTCTTAGGAGGTGTTTACAGCGCCCAATAAACGTTGCAGCAGACCGAGACCCACAAGTCGAATGCAGCACCCAAGCTTTGGAGGCAGGTGTGCAGCTTTATTCTCGCCGGTGGGCTTGGCTGGGATCCTTCACCAAAGAGCCAAGCCCCTGACTCTCAAGGAGCAGGATTTTTATAGGATTTACAACCAACTAGGAGGTACAAGAACGGAGCATGTGCTATTAGTTGATTGGACAGAAAGTTACACTGAATTTCACCTTGTTTGCATGTAACTAAGATAAATTAGTGGTATATGATTGGGCAAGAAAGTTACACTGAATTTCACCTTTTTTGTATATAGTGGAAACAGGAACAAAAGTCTTACTGAAGGTTTGGAAGAGGCTGAAGGGCTGGGGGGGGGGCTTCTGTCTGGGCGCAAGTGTTGTTTTCTGCTTTAAGTGATAGGTGTGAACAAACCTTTAAGTTTTAAAGGATATATGTTGTTGCAAAGTGTTGTTGTCCAAATGAGGTTGTGTATTGTTAAAATGCAGTCATGGGGTCAGGGAGATAGCTCAGCAGCACAGCACCTGCTGGCAAGTGCAAGGTCCTGAGTCTGATTCCTGGTACAAAAAAAATGCAGTCATGTCCTGCAAGGCAGTGGTTTAGTCGATGAGGGACAAAACACACTGTGTGGCTGTAGTGGACAACCTGGGCATGTAGTGGGCGGTACAACTCCAGTTTGTGTCCATTCGATGTTCACACAGCAGAACTGATTAACGAATGCGTTTCTCAGCACGTGTTCATGTTGTTCAGTGACATGAGACTATGGATTGAATTAGCGTTCTTCAGGAGAATGGTGGAACTTCTTAAAATGGAAAATTTTTGTATAATGTAAATGTTGAATCAGAGGTTAGTTGCTATAGCTGACCATGTTTGTCGTTAACCATGATGTAATTGACTGTTGGCTCTACAGTTTCCTTACTTGAGAGATATTCCTTCAGTAATTAGTTCAGAGGGAAAAATTATATCTAAAGAAAAAAACCTAGCTTTAAATACAGTATAGCAAGAAATAGTCAACTGTTTGAAAATCACACTCTTTACCATATTCTTAGCTATGTGAAAACATTTATTTTGCGCATTTCTAGACTGCTGTTAATTTGAAATCTGTTAGTATTATTGTGGAATTTGTTATTTATGTATGTATGTATGTATGTGTGTATGTATTTTATACCAGGAATTGAACTCACAACCTTGCGCTTGCCAGGCAGGCTCTGTGCCACTGAGCTAAACCCACGGCCCCTGGTTTTTTTTTAAAGAAAGATGCTTTTAGCCGGGTGTGGCGGCACATGCCTATAATCCCAGCACTTGGGAGACTGAGGCAGGAGGATCGTTTCGAGTTTGAGAACAGTCTGGGCTAGAAAGTGAGCTCAAGGCCAGTTTGAACTGCATAGTGAGACCCTGTCTCAAAAAAAAAAAAAAAAAAATTTAAAAAGATATTTCTAATTGGATTTTTAAAAAGAGGAATGGAATTTGGTTGGTATTTTGTAATAGAACTTAAGCTTTTTTCTGATTCTGAGTGTCCTACGTAAAACTTATTGTCAGAGTAATTAAGGTTTTCCCTTTATTCTACTTTATATTAGAGTTCCATTAAGAAATGGGAAACTGGGGAATATATAGTGAATTGTAAAATATTTTAATGTGTAACTTTCAACTGTGAAACTATGACTATTGGTATTTTGATGAAAACAGCTCCTGAGAAAGTATTTTGTGTAAAGTTTAAAAAAAAAATGTTGACATTTTCTTAGTGATAATTTTGAATGTTGTAGGCCGTGGAAGAACATAAAAGGGAAAATGAAGAATCCCCAGGACAACTGAAAGTGGCTGAAGAGGTTGAAAAACTCGCTGGACAAGTGGAAGTCTGGGAGGCAGAAACCAAATCTGTTCTGGATCTTCTGAGACATCAGGGTGCTGCGGACAGCTCCGTGGAAGAGTCTTTGCAGGTAAGAGTGTCAGAGTCCTAAGCAGACATATTCTGGTTGTAGACGCATGTTTTAACACATAAACAAAAAGGCTTTAAATAGAAAGCTTTAAAGTGAGTTTATTTGGAGTTTGAAAAATGGTGTGATCCCTGATCCCTGGTCATCTGGGATTTTGCTGGCAATACCTAATGAGTGGACGTTCTTGGGCAGATTTTTCTAGCTGTAGAATGGATGGTGGTGACATCAGTGAGTTCAATCTCATGTAGCTGAGTGCAGTAGGAACATAAGATTACACAGTCTGGTCCCGGGCTTGGTGGCGCATGCCTGTAATCCCAGCACTCAGAAGGCTGAGGCAGGAGGATCATTGCGAGTTCGAGACCAGCCTGGGCTACACAGTGAGCTCAAGGCCAGCCTGAACTGCGTAGCGAAACCCTGTTTCAAAATGGCAAGGAAAAAAAAAAATCTACAGCGCCTAAGTTAGGCTAACATGGGAAGTTCTGAAACAGGAGCATTTACATAATTTTTCTAAATCTGTAATTCTGGAAGGTACATATTTCATCATTTTGTGTTTTTATTGTTTATAAGAGTAATAGCTTTTATTGCTTTGAAAATATATATTTGTAAAAATAAAAAATAACTTGTCATTTCATCTGGCAGTGTTTTACTAATTCCATTTTTGTTCTCATTTACTTAGTCTTATCTGGAATTCATTTTAGTGGAAAAGAAAGGGGAGAAATTCAGTACTTTAAAACATTTTGTTTTCAAAACAATAACAGCAAAAGCCGCTGCCATGTATTGTGACCCTCACTCATGAAAACATCACTGTGAAGGGCATGACTGTTATTTTATTTTATTTTATTTTTGTTTTTTTGAGACACGGTCTTGCTATATAGTTCAGGCTGGCCTTGAGGTCACTTTGTAGCCCAGGCTGTTCTCGAACTCTGGCTGATCCTCCTGCCTCAGCCTCCCGAGTGCTGGGATTACAGGCGTGCGCCACCATGCCCGGCATGACTATATTTTAATGATAGAAGTCATAGTTTGAACTATGATAATAGTACTTCATGATAGCATAGATCCTAAAAGTACATCCATGCCAAAATATATTTCTGTTAATGCAGAATTAAGTAAATCTCTATTGGAGCAAGGTATTCGATCAGGTTATATTCTAGAGTAAGAATGCACATTGCTGCACAATCTGAATGATGTGATTCTGTTTGTCCAACAACCGTGCTTCGATGCTTTGCATCCATAGAGAAGTATCTTAATGACACCGAAAATCAGGTCTCTGCCTCGGCCCTGCATTGCACCTAGCTCGGTCTCCGAGTGCAGTTTCCGGCATGTACAGGGGGTAGAATAAATGCTTCTCAATGAATGTGGGGACACCTATGAAATGACAGCCAGAGGGAGGAGAGAGAGAGAAGGGGACCTTTTAATTTACAGACTATACTTTTGTATTTTTGTTTGAAGTTTTTTTAAACATGAGCTTTTTAAAAAAATTGAGAAAAAATTAAAATGGTAAATGAACGTTATAATTTCAGAAAATTACAGTCATTGCCATTCTACAACCCTAAGATCGACATTTATGTAGTTGGTATCGCATAAAATAATTTGTATTACCCATGCCGTCCTTGATCTGTGATTAGAAATTTGATTTGCTAAGTTGACAACTGATAGGTAGTATCTCCTGATTAATTTCTTTTGTAGTTCTTTACTTACATGGAAGGTTGAATCACCTTTCATAGCATTAGGCGCGTCATTCTGTGAATTTCCTGTTATTGCATTTTCAGAGTTTTCTTTGGCTTCTTGGAATTTTATTGTATTATATGAGCTCGTTGAATTGTGATCCTCTTTCATTTTGGTGACAGTTATTTTTTACCAAGTTGGTGACTTGTAAGTAGTTTATTTTGCAAGGGAAGATTTCTGTATTGATGTAATCATGTCTTTCTATACTTTTTTTTTTCTTTTAAGGTACTGGGATTGGACCCAAGGCCTTCACACTGAGCTATGTCCCCCGCCCTCTTTGTATGACCTGTCTTGATTCAGGGTCTTGCTGAGTTGCCTGGGGTGGGCTGCAAGTTGTGATCCTTTGTGAGCTGGGATCACAGGTGTGTGCCACCACAGCCGGCTCCCTCTCCACCCTTCTGCCTAGAGAGCCTCTCCCGCCCAGGCAGATTGATCTTTGCGGAGAATTTGTTCTTTATGTGGCTTCCTATGTTACCAATAACTTCCTGATTTATCTGGAATTTGTGATATGTTGCATAAGGCGCAGTTTTTTTATAAGGTCATTTATTTAGTGGGTTTTTTTTTTTTTTTTAAAGAGCAGAATATATTTATTGGGGAAAGAAAGCTTCTGTCTGAGAGAGAGAGACAGAAGGGATCCCGAGTGGGTTGCCGAGGATGCTGCCTTTTTAAGGGATTTTTATAGAGCAAAACCATGAGGTGAGGCAGGTCTAATTTTTCATTTTCGTATTTTTGGACTGTATATTGGTTATACAAGTCGGAGGATTTCATTCTGACGGATTTGTGCATGCACATAGCATACTGCAGTCGTTACTCCTCATCATTTCTTTTGCCTGCCCTCCTCCCTAGTGTCACATTCCTTGAGGGTGTGTCAGTGAGAATAATGTATTTCTTGCTCCTCCCCTCATTATCCTCTCTTATACCTTTCCCCTTGATTCCTTTCCTTTTGCCTAGTAATAGTCTCCCTTCCACTTTGCTGGCATCTTTTTTAGATTCCGTATGTTAGGGAGAAGATGGAATATTTGTCTGAGTTCGGCATAGTTTGCTTAAAATGACTTTTTAGATCCATTTATTTTTCTGCAGATGACAAAATTTCATTCTTTATGGCCCAAATACTACTGTTATGTATATACAACACATTTTCTCTATCCATCTATTTGCTGGTGGGCATTTAGGTTGGTTCCATATCTTAGCTGTTGTGTATTACGGTGCAGTTAGCACAGGTAGGCAGACATGCTTCTAGTACGTTAGCTTCAGTTTTTTGCGAGTGTGATATCTAGCAAGGAGTAGTATAGCTGGGTCACATGGTAGCTATATTTTTAGTTTTTGAAAAAATTTCCATATTGATTTCCATAGTAGCTGTAAAAATTTACATTTCTACCAGCAGTGTAGAAGGGTTCCTTGTTCCACTCATTCTTCGCAGCATTTATTATTTTTGTATTTTTCATGTTAGCCATTTTGACTGGGTAAGTGGAATCTTAATGCAGTTTTGTTTTGTATTTCCCTAATAGCTACAGATGTTGTATATTTTTTCATATATATTGTTGACCATTTGTACTACTTTTGAGAAGTGTCTGTTCAATTCTTTTGCCCATTTATTGATTGAGCTATTTAATTTTTTCAGCTCTTTATATATTCTAGGTATCAATCTTCTGTTGCTAGAGTAGCTGACAAAGGTTTTCTCCCATTCTGTAGGCTGTCGTCACTCTGTTGACTGTTGTGCAGAAACTTTTTGATTCAATACACTCCCATTTGTTGATTCTTGTTGTTTTTTCTTACACTGTTGGAGTACTATTCAAGAAGTCTTTGTCACCAGACGTGGTGGCACATGCCTATAATTCCAGCACTTGGGAGGCTGAGGCAGGAGGATTGTGGTGAGTTCAAAACCAGCCTGGGCTACAAAGTGAGCTCGAGGCTAGGCTGGACTACATAGCAAAACCCTGTCTCAAAAAGACCCCCTCCAAAAAAGAAAAAAAAAAGAAGTCTTTGTCTGTACCTGTGGCTTCAAGTGTTTCCCCTATATTTTCTTTTAGCAGTTTCAAAATTTCAGGTCTTTTGCTTACATCTTTGTTCCATCTTGAATTGATTATTATACAGGGTGAGAGATAAGGGATCTAATTTCAATCATGTGCAAATAGATATCCAGCTTTTCCAACGTGATTTTTTAAAGAAGCTGTCTTTTCTCCAACATATATTTTTGGTTTCTTTGTCAGAATCAGGTATCTGTAGTAGTATGGGTTTGTTTCTGTGTCCCATTTGTTCCTTTGGTGTGTGTGTCTTATTTTTGTGCCAGTACCATGCTGTGTTTGTTACTATGGCTTTGTAATATAATTTGAAATTGGGTATTGTGATGCTGCTAGCCCTGCTGTCATTGCTAAGGAATTCTTTATCTGTTCTGGCTTGTGTTTCCATGTGAGTTTTAGGATTACTTTTTCTAGTTCTCTGAAAAATGTCATTATTATTTTGTGACTCAATCTGTAGACCATTTTTGGTCTTTCCATTGTCTCGTGTCTTTAATTTCTTTCATCTGTGTTCTGAAATTCTCACTGTGTAGTTCTTTCACTTCCTTGATTAAATTGATCCCTGGATTTTTTTTTTTATTTTTGAAGCTATTGTGAATTGAATTGTTTTCCTGATTTATTTTTCAGCTAGTCCTTTATTGGTGTAGAAAAAAAGAGATTTAATTTTTAATGCCGATTCTTGAATTCTGCTACTTAGTTGAATTTATTTATCAGCTCTAAAAGGTCTTTCAGTGGAATCTTTAGGGTCTCCTATGTATAGAATCTTATTTTCTGCAAACAAGGATAATTTATCCCTTTTATTGCTTTCTCTTTGCTAATTATTCTAGCTAAAATTTTAAGAACTATATTGAACAGAAATGGGGAGAATAGGCATCCTTGCTTCTTCCTGAGTTTAGAGGAAATGCTTTCAGTGTTTCTCTGTTCAGAATGATGTTTGCTGTAGATTTGTCTATATTTTTTTGTTTGCTTGTCTTTTTTTGTCTTTTTTGGTTTTTTTATTTATTTATTTTTTATTTTTTGGTCTTTTTGAGACAACATTTCCTATGTAGTTCAGGCTGGCCTTGAGCTCACATTGTAGCCTAGGCTGGTCTTGAACTCACAATGATCCTCCTGCCTCAGCCTCCCCGAGTGCTGGGATACAGGTGTGTGCCACCACACCTGGCTACACCTTGTAGTATTGAAGAATGATCCTTTATTTTTTTGGAGGGGTTAATAAACATTTTTTATTTTAGAAATTTATTTCTTTTAAGAGGCAAATTC